TATATTATATATTATATATTACATATATCATATAACATATAATATATTATATATAATTTATAATATATCATATATTATACATTATATAAGGTTCAAGCAAAAATACTTTTTTAATTTTTTTTAGAAGTTTCTGAGTGGCCATTATTTCTTTTTTTGAATATTTGTCACTCATTGCTCAATTTTAAAATTAAATGTCGTCGTTGTTGACGTGGACGGTGTTGATGGGAATGATGTGGATAATTATTAGGTTATATAATAATATCCGTAGTAAAGACGCTAAAAAAGCTGTCTGTTTTTACTGCCACAACATTTTTGATTAAAAACAATAAGCAATAGGAAGTGAGGTTTTTATGAGTAGACTGAAAAACGAATATTCATTGTTGGAACAAACACTTCCGCATTCGCCGTTATCGGTGGTTTGCTGAATACATCGCAGTGAAACAGTTGATTGATCCGTTTGTATCCTTTGCCATCCTTCAGCGGCTGTAGGTAACAGGTGTTGTCTTTATTGTCTAGTTTCTTCTAATTCAGGGAATGTTTTGAAGCTGCTGGTTGAAGTATACTTTTATCGCTGCTGTATGAATTCAGACTATTCATTGCGTGTAGAGCTACAGTGAAGCATAAAAGATGAATAAAATTACAAATATTCCTTATGTGCAAATTAAAGTTTCTTCCACATATTATGATTTCTGCTGTCCAAATTTATGTAAAAAAGGTTTGTTAGTTGTGAAAAAAGAGTTGCCTATGTACGGCTGATGTTCTTCGACTTGTGATTGTCTGTCCAGAGCAATGTTGTTAACAAAGTGATTAATAGGAAAAGCGATAATTGGGCGATCTACAAGTAGGCCATATGTCGTGTGACAGCAAAACCAACAATGTGAAGCAATAAAAAAAATATATATGTCATGCTTTTTTCTTAATATTTATTTTTTGCTAGTATACACGCCATTTGTTGGTGATCAAAATGTGTAATTGTGCATATCACCCGACACTCTTTTAAATGATAGTTCAAAAGGGTTTTTGGTCGAAATTTTAGCAACTTAGCTGTATCTCATATACCGGAATCGTCCAATCAGAACACATCTTTGTTGTAGCCTTGGCAAAACAAATTACTTTTTTGACAAACTGTAGCTCTTAAGCTAGCTTCAGTGAAGCTGAATATAGGCAATTTCTGAAGTCTTAAGAAAAACAGCAAAATGGGCAAATTAAAATCAGACTTTATATTTGTTTTGCTGATGCAGAGCTGAGCGACCAATTGAAATCACAATAAACAATTCGTAAGCAGTAAAAGAACAGCACACTATTCTTTAACCACCAAAATTTATTGAACTATCTCCAAAGAAGCTTTAAAAAAACTTTGTTGTATTTCTCAAAACAGTTTCCTTCCTACGACGGAGGGAGTATTGTTGAATATCTCCGCAAATGATTTTCAGTGAAATGAGCATGATCCATGAAATTATTTCCATTCTTTTTTTTTTTTCAATTAAGTGTTTGCTTCTGATAGTGTGAAATGAGCATATTCTTGTCAGAATTGCTTTAAACTTCCTCAAGTTTGGCTGCTCATTCAGAGTACAGCATTCCTGCTAACACTTGCGATACCGATCGTCAATGTATGTTTTGAATAAGACCTCAATTACAAAAAAAAAAATGATTCTTTTTTTCCTTCAGCCATCAATACAAGTTGAAAACTATAAGAAAAAATTCATATCAACAAAAAAAGTATAGATTTTTTAAGCAGTTCTGCGAAAGTTTAGAGATAGAAATGAATTTTTGGTGTAGCAAAGAGACAGGTTAGCGAAAGAGGAAGCAAAGCGAAAAATTCAAGAAATATCACCGACGTTGAACCAACAGAAAAAAAAAAAGGAATAAGAATCAAAGTAACAGCTAAAAGATCGAGTAAAATCTTAAATACATATTTGTAGACCCAATTTCTCCTCACATTTTCTAAGCATGAAAACACAACTTGAACAGAGACTACATTTTTGTAATTTACATTAACGAAGATCTTAGTTTGTCATAGCAGTCAGACATATGCGCAGTACATTTAACACTTAACAAGACAAAAGAATAAAACTTAGAAGAAAAACTACAAAAACCTGCCTGCTTCCTTCCTTTCTTCCACCACACGTCCTCTTCTCTTCTGCGTTCACTTTCCACTCGATGGCCAATGCGAAAGGAAGACCAACAAAGACAAAAAAAAAAAGCAAAATAAAGTAATTTTTTCAGCAAAAAACGTTAGATTAAAACAGGAAAAAACATCTCGATTACAAGAAATTATACAGAAAAAAAAAGGAAGACTAGAACAGCGATGATTATTTCTATTTTACAACAGCGCAGTTACTAATGTTTTCTTTTTGTTCCTCCAGAACAAAAATGTATCCAAGTTGATAGGTTTCCTACAAAGTTGTTTTTTCGCTCGCTAACTTCTTTGCATTACTTTCATTCACTCTTCTTTTCTATAAAATTAAAACTTTCTTTTTTCTTCTTCTATACAACGAACAAAAATTGCAACAACGGCAGCTTTAGTAATTTTTGTAGTGCCGGTGATGAATGAATATATTATGTATATTTTGTTAAATTGTCATCATAAATATTTGACTGTATTTTTTTTTTTTTTTTTGTTAGAAAACAATAACAAAGAAGAAGAAAAAAAAAAAAGAAAAAAACTTTTTCGGAACAAAATTTTTTTCACAGAGAAAAGTGAGAAAAAAAAAGAAAAAGAAACACTTACAAAAGGCCGCTCTCCTGAATGCCATCGTAAATGGGCTTTTAAATGTGAACTTTTGCTGTAAAGTTTTCCACATCCAGGCACATGACAATTATGTATACCTCTTTTCTTAGCCGCCACATTCGCAACACCTATAAATTGTTCTTCTTTTCTTTTTCTTTTTTTTTCTTTTTTCAGTTTTCAGCAATAAATTATTGTTTTTAATAGTTAAAAAATTTTTCTTATATAGGAAGCAAGCAGAAAATTTTAAATGATGACGACAACAAACACCGATTTATTGTCTGTGAAATAAAAATTTTTTAAATAACAAATATCACTCGTGCAGATACAGCTGGCAATAACACGAACACCAGTTCAAATTAAAAAAAATAAAATAAAATAACCTCTTTCTGAAAAAAAAAAAAAGGGAAATAAATTCGTTACCATAATCATTTGATACTCAAAGATTTAAATACAAATGAAAAAGCAGAAAAGAAAAAGGAAGATATCTTTATAGAAGCTGTAAATCACTTATGTTATTAGATGAAAATTTAGAAAAAACAATAGCATAAGTAAACAGTAAATGCTACACAGATTACTTGCACTAACAATTTTAAAACTTAGACTTAAGCCCAATGAACACACTAACCACACTGTTGACACCAACCGATTCTATGCCAACTGTACTGTTAGCCGAAACTTTTTGCCGCCAATACCGTACAACACTATTATCTTGAGGCAACTGCGGTTAAAAAACTAAACACTGATTGGCTGTTTCGTTAAGTACTTCCATAATTTTGTAACTCTTAATTTGGTTTGATCAATCGGCCGGTTGATTGGATGCTCTGTCAGCTGAGCTTTATAGCTATTATAGTACTGTAACTGTTTATCCAGACTTAAAATAATCTTACATCAACAACTGGTCTTTATTCCTGCAAAATTGTTTCTCATTTTTGTTTCATTAATTTTTACCAGTTTTATTGTAACATTGGCC